AAAGTTTCCAAAGTAGTAATTTTCGTACTCGACTCGGAATTATTGAGCCTAATTTCTCCTCCACGAGCGCCAATGTGTCCTTCTTTAATGGTTTATGTGACTTAAGTCTCATCTTAATTAAACATACACTGAACTGACAATTAGAACAGAATGAGTACAAATCTATCACATCAAACTCAATACAGAAACTGTCAAGACAAATTATTGAATAAGAACACCAGAATACACAACACTAATAAACAAGCTTTAATAGTAAAACGTGTTTTCAAGAAATTAAAATTACTACTTACCACAATTCAAAATATGGAACCATTAATATTCGCTTTCGATTTCTGCGCAACACACTTCACATTACATTTATCATACCTTACCCTCCTGACATAAGGAGTTATGTCCAACTCCACGACGAAAATCAGTCTCCACACAATAAGCAGACACTCAAATTAACAAATATTTTACTCCAATACACAAAAATACAAACACATCTAAACTTTATATCTTTTTAGAGCATAGCTATATGAGAAAAAATCAAATAAAAATTAAATACCTCTGTGAAGCATTTCAAAGTTTTTGCAAGAAATCAATAATAATTTTTACACGGTTTTTATTAATACGTTTCAGGTTTTAATATATATTATTTCTTTTATTTATCACATTTATTAACTGAACTGTAGAATACCATTTAAATTTAATTATATGTTTTTCTATTCTTAAATGAAAATAAATTTTTAAATATAGCTAAATTGTGTAATATGATATGAAAAAAAAAACTGTTCTGTAATGGGTCAAAGAATCCCCCTCGCAGTTATGGGCTAGTTTTAATTCTAGGCATTCTAGGCAGTTCTAGGCTAGCTATAGGTCAATTATGCTCTTCAGAAATTTACTGGATAAAAAATGGATACATTTCACGTCGTCAGATCGAGTTATCGTATCTCGGAACCTCAAATAAAAAGATAGTTCTGGAATATAAACACCCAAAAAGCATAACAGAATTAAGTAATTATTAAATGCCACGCGGTATTTTGCGAAAGGCGAATCCCGAAAAGCAAGTATCAAAACTACAGATAGAGTGAGCCGGTAGATACATAGGATAATAATATATTCCCAGATGATTTCATTTTTTGTCATCTCTACCTCAGACCTTCTATCTCTTTCTAAGGTTCTTTCTAAGTTTTTGCTTTTGCATACAACTCAGCCGAACGCACATTTCCACTTCGACCACTTCGAAAGAGTTACAATATGCTCTCTTTCTTGCCAATTTTGCCAGATGAAACTGCATTCTTCGTATTGTTACAAATTTTGCATTTAGTTAGATAATTTTTAGTAGAATTATAAATAAAAATTGTTTTATTTCCCAGCGCAATGCAGCGCGTGACAAATTTTAAGAGAAACCTACGCAGGAAAAGTAAAAATACAAGAGCGTGCATTTAACATTAATTAACAGTTTATCTCTGTAACTGATATTTAATTTGAATTATTAAATATTAGTTAACTACTATGTTAGCTGAAACCGTAATTCTACTCATTTTGCTTTCCAGAAATTCCTGGCTATCGCGAGGACGATTTAAAAAGCTATAAAAGCCGGAGAGATAGCATCTCAGCTTAGTTGACTATTCTGGCATTTTTCACATTGAGAATACTCTCAATAAAGCGAAGAACGTTAGATCCCAACTTCACCCCCTATTAGCCCGAAAGAGCCATCTGTCTATCAGAAACAAAGCTCTTCTCTATACTTCAGTTATTCGACCAATATTTATGTACGCGTGTACCATTTGGGGTACCGGTGAGAAGAGTCACATAAAAAATTACAAGCCTTTCAAAGTAAAACCTTACGTTTAGTCCTTAGGGCAGCCTGGTACGTCCGTACTGATGTAATTCACTCGGACCTTAACATTAAACCAATTGATGTCGCTATTAAAAAACTTAGTCAAAATTTGTTCCTCTAAATTGAACAGATTTTTAACCGAGCACTTTAGCAGCTTCGTATCTACGATCCTGATATTCCAAGTTCACAAAAACGACCAAGGGCCATCATGGACCGAGACTACGGCATCTATCCCTCTCCTGCTAAAAGGCGTAGACACGATCTCGCCTCTTCAGTTCCAGCTTCCGAGCCGTGAAGGGCGGACGTATCTATCTTCTGAAATGGCTATTCCTCACTGACTATGCCAAATTGCACTCTTCTACTCAAGTTCAACTGAAAAGTGGCCTTCTTCGCACTGTTATCAATCTGTTCCTTTAAAAAATCTCATCATGCCCGCAGAATTAATTTCTGCGTTGGATATTTCCTCGCGTTTTCCACAAACCTTACTACATTCTGAGTTAGCGCCATATGCCAATGATCCTCTTAATTTCTAAAATCTTTCCTCTTGGCTTTTTACTTTTGTGTTTTATCTATGTCATAAAAATATAAAATACCCCCAAAACTAAAAAAATTAAATATACAAACGAAAATTATAAAAAAATGACTTAATGATTTTTTTCCCTATACCTAAACTATCTCGAGCTAATGTGGCTTTCCCTAGCTTTCATCAAATTAACTATTTACGTAATTCGTAATTTTAATATTTCTGCTCACTTCTTGGATATTTTTATGATGTGTAGCTAGTACATGGTTAAGAACAATAGGCAAGCCGAAATACTTCATCATTGACATTGGCTCAACTCAGTTGCTTAGTTACTGTTATTCGGAGTTATTGTTTAGCTATCTGTTGTTGTTCTTTTGCGAATTCGTAGTGAGATCGGATTAGCTTTCTCGTTGCATTGTGTTGTATTTTAGCGTTTTTAGTAGTTTAAAGTATAGCTACTGATTATATAGCGTGATACTATACGAATATTTCTGAAGAAAACTACAGCGTTCTGTTATATTTCCTGCGAGAAGAATAAATTTTATTAATCTTGTTCATTCAATCTATTAAGAAACCACGTTCGGACGCAACAGCTTTTACGCATTCTAGGATACATATTTATCATATTAGTTTTTCTTCAGGCTATTTCAGTTATAAATTTTTTGTTGGATGTTTGGACAGTTTTTTTACATCTAAGAAGGTTCCAAGCATGTTTAGAGTGAAATATTGCTTAAAATATTCAAAGCCATTAGTTCATTATAACTTATTAACAATCATTAATTTATCAGGATTATTATTATGAAAATTAAAAAATAATTATGGAAAAATATAATTTTAAAATTAATAACTATTTCTTTTTGTTAATTATCATTGGTAATGATAGTCTTATTATCTGCAACAGTGCTCATCATAGGTTCCTGAAACTACTAATTCATGCTTTATAGGGTTTATAATTTTATGGAGAGTCTAGCTGCATCTGTTTCAGGTTGATTACCTTCGGATAATTTTTGCATCGTCGAAGTCATATGACCCGCAAATTGTTCCGACCTACATTTATCTCTCAACCATTCCCCTTCCTTCATTCTCCCTGTACAGAATTACACCCCTCCTCCAAATTTTCTTACCCTCAATGCAATTTAGAATCAATTGTCATGGTATCATGTAAGATTCTCTATTTTTTATTCTTTTTTATTCACCATTATACAGAAAAGCACAACAGTAGTGCATAATTAATACAATTTTTCGTCAAACTTTGTTAGTAAACAAAAAGCTTGCTTTCATTCTGTAGAAAGTATAATAAGGTAAATTCCAAAGCAACAGACACATAGTGACATTTAAAAGAATAACTAGAAAATTAAGATTCAGAGAAAAACTTCTGCGACACTGAAAAATATCAGGGTGAAATGCGTAATTCAAAACGACTTAAATTTAAAGTTAATTTTTGTTATTATTTACTTACGCATTATGTTATAATAAGTAAAGGACGGTTTATATTTAATTTAAGCTCATTATTAAATGCTCTTATGGTTGTATTATTAGTAAGAAACACACGCAAAAAGTTTTTAAATATTTCTTAAATATGCATATTATGAACTTTAACGTTAAGAAATCATGATTAGTATATAAAGACATTGTTGCGTGCGTACGCGCTCGTAATAGATAGAATGCACAAGTCCAATTAATAAGATTTATGCTTATCACAGGAAATATAACAAAACGCTGCTATTCACCTCAGAGATATTCGTACAATAAATGTATCCCACAATATAATTCAGTAGTTATCCTTTAAAAGCTAATCCGATCAATAACAACAGCAGAAGCTAACTAAACAACAAACAACAACTGAGGTGAGCGTCTCTCTCCGGCTTTTTATAACTTTTAAGTCCGTCGCGTGAGATTCTAGCAATCACTGCTTCTCCAAATTTCCAGAAAGCAATAGAGTAGAATTACGGTTACAGCTATCACAGTAGGCAATTAAATTTATTCAAATTAAATATAAATTATCGAGATAAACTTTTCTTCAATGTTAAATGCACGTGCTCTTATATTTTTACTTTTTCGGCGTAGGTTTCTCTTGAAAGCTGTCTCGTGTTGCATTGCACGGGGAAATAAAATAATTTTAATTATATTAAAAATATATGATTAAATAGAAAATTCGTAACAAATACTGCCATCTTTTAAGTAAAAATGTTTAATAAGTTCTTGACAAAATGTTTAATGTTTTAAGTACTTAACGAATCGTTTATGATGTAAATCCAGTTTTATGTGAATATCATGGTCATGATTTCATTTTCATTATTTCATCTTGAAGCTCATCCGTAATGGTTTTAGTGCTGCCAACAGTATATTAATCTTTTTTAATGGGTCATAGGTGATTTGCGACCATTTTTACACCTTTAATTTCATTTACACTGATTTGTATTTCAAAATCGTGCTCCTTTATTCCAAAGCACACTATAATGATGTCTTTAATTTCACACATCTTCGTATTCATGCATCTCATTTAAAATAATAGAATTAAAATAATAATCTCATTTAAATAAAGATCCAAGTTACGTTTGGTAAAGTACCAGTTTTCAAAGATTTAGGAATGTTATGTATGTTTCCGTTCATGCATCAAACACTTACGCAAATCATTAAAGTGAAATATCGCAGAATATAATAAAATATTTATTGGATATATAAGCAAGCTAGATAGTTATAACATTCAACATTTCATGGATAAAATGAAACATTTTTATTGTAATGTAGTCAGTGGGGATGGCACATTCCTCGTTCACGTGACAATTTTAGAAGATCTGAATGCCTTGGAATCAATGAGATCATTCTAGTACAAGAGGTAGATAGAAAGTATTTGGCAAAGTAAACTCCTACAGTAATTCCATAGTTGTACATCAAGAATATAATGAAGGAAAGCTACAAAATTATAAAAAAAAGAGTAATACTGAATAGTACAAGTAAAATTCAAATAAAAATATAAAGCATTACAATAATAAATATACCTACTTAAACCACTCAGTATCAAAGACAGAGCTTAACTGAAAATTCTTAAAATTTTAAATGACCTCCATTACTATATATTAAAATGTTAATACCTTTTGATTCCATTCTATTGAGAACAGTGCTTATACATTTCAAACAGGATAAATATTGCTTGGAGTTACATGTTCGTGAGTTAACATCCACAAACATTGCAACGCACTTTTAGATAACTTTTTTGTAAGTGTTTTAAGGATTTTATTTAAACAGGAAAGTTATTAGAAGTGTTTGGAAACAATATTGGGTGAAGTTGCGACTGATACTGCCATACATTCTGGCTGGATTTCAAGTTTCGCTAAAAAGAGTCTGTCATGTGCGGAAGGAGAAACGTAAACGTGGTGTATTCAAGCACCTAAGAGTCACCGTCATCATCATGTTTACCTTATCCAACGGATCCAGAGTTGTAACTTTGAAGTTTCGAAGAACATGCGCTAAAATAATCTTCATTTCCATCATTGCATATATGGAACCTGAAATAAGTGATCCAAAATTACTGACAGTCTTAATGATGTAATGAAGAAAGCAATGCATGGCAATGCATAATAATATACCATTAAATCCGAAGAGCAATGCTCTACTGTATTCCCTTATTCATTAAAAATTAAAGAAGGAAATGTGTAACGTGCAGGAGTCAGAACATCCAGCTAGCAACTGCAGGGCCTCGATTTTGATTCCCGTCGAAGACGGAATAAAAGTTTTAAGATTTCTTGCTGCAGTAAACTTAACGATTCCATAAATACACCTTATGGTTTATTTGTTACAATTTCACTACGAATGACATGATAGAAAGAAATCAAATGCTGCGCACATTCCTGACTAAGAAATATATGTATAATTTATGTTATGATTTTACAATATTAATGATTAATCACAGTAATTAGTTTCATACTTTCACGTAATTCTCTTTAATCTGAAAATAAAAAAAATAATTTGTCTAATATTCGCACTAGTTGAATTAAAGTTTAAAATATACAAAACTCAGTATTCTTCTTAAAGAAGTATTTACATAAATTTTATGCTTCTTTTGCTGTTCTTGTAAATATGTGGTAGATAGCTCGTAAGTACTTTTTCTTAATTAAAATCAACTAACTAGTCTTTAGGATGGCCAGTGAAATGTGCGCTTTTTTAACCTATGGTGACTAAATACGAACAAAACTAAAATAATAGAAAATTCATTTGTATCTTAACAGTATATTATGCACATAAATATTTCATCTGATCTATAAAAACTGATTAATAGGAACTTTAAAGCTATTTTACGCCGGTTAATAGCACTCGTAACCATGGGAACAAGAGCTGCCAGAAAAATAGTTGAGTCACTTAACATTTTTCTCCACTTCATTTCTGTTAACGTGCTTCACTTTATGAGAAACGCGCGAATGAAGGGTGACTTGAACTACAGTCTCAAATGAGGTGGAGAAAGTAAGTACTTTTCCGTGATAACGACACGAGTTACAATCGCAAATGGGGGCTGTCAGTCACCTTGAAGTGCCTAATTGAAAGTAACATACTGTAGATGTAATATCAAAAGTTTTGATAAATTCAGCAATATATGCTAGATATTTAGCGGTATTTATATATGAGCAGTCACGCTCGCAAAGTTTTTTCCTAATTAGAGCAGTACTGGATTATTTTAATGTAGTAAAGAACGCTAGTGTTATCTGCTTTTGAGGTTAAATGTGTTCATGACTGGTTTTCTAAAATAAAATATCCCATACTTACTTTGCATAGAAAGTTAAGATATCTCTAAACATCTGAACAAAATCAGGTAATTTTCGACTTTTGTTCCTTGTTAATGGTTTAAATGGGCGGCTATTTCAATTTTCTTATACTGATGTCCTATTTACCCCCCAGGCCAAAAAGCCAATATGCACTGATAACCGAAAATGGTTGCCTCTCAGTGATCGAATTTATAGGGTAGCTAAATCCTAGTAATTCTATCTTTAAAATTCTTAACAAATATAGCTTACTAATTTGAAAAATATGGAAGGATCCAGTAAATGCTGATAAATATTGAAATAAAAACGAGCTGCTGAATCTTTACAGTTTCTTTTTAAAGACACAAAATCACAGACTCCGATTTTAAAAGCATTTGCAGTCACTAGTTGGAATTAAAGAATTTCTACTAACATGGGATATTTACAGAAATTAAAATTATCAATAAACACGGTTCGAAGTGAAAGTTTTGACCCATTTAGAATCACATTGACAAACATTGTGAAGGTGATTTGATAACATCAGTATTATAAGTACAGATGTGAAATTGTCTATTAACCTAGAAATCTTAGCATAGAAGTCTCATAAAATTTATTCTAAGGATCAAAAAATCTTATTCTTCAAAAACACATTTACACCTGAGAAACTACAATAATATTCATGTAATTCAAAATTACAGCTCGTTAAACTGATATTCTCAGGTATTAGTAGGTATTTCAAGTTTTCAATCATCTGAGATACTTCAGATACTAATATTAGAGTGATTCAGCATGTTTCGAATTTTCCGGCTTTAGTTTATAAACCTGTCAATAGGCATCACTATGAATATCTTTTGCAACTTGACATTTATTTGTATTACGACCGAATGGTTTAGTTTCTAAACCATGTTAATTTTTTTACCTTCACTTGCATTATCACCCTTCAGGCGAAAAATAATCAAAAGGTGCACAGGATGGTGCTAGTACAACAGTACTAGCACCATCCTGTGCACCTGAAAATGACCTGAAAATAAAAATCATTTTTGAGGCTTTAAATTATAGAGAGAAAGGGTGGGATAAAAAGGTGCCTTGAAAAGATTTTTCTGAATGTTATAAAAGAGTACGGTAAAATGTATATGATTTCAATATTAAAAAAATAATAATTTCTTTTGAAGGTCATGAAACTTAGAAGAATTTTAAATGTTGATTAGTGAATTAAATAACCTTCTGGGTTTTCTTACATGTTTGCTGTTACATAGAGAATTTCCATAATTATAGAAATTTTATATGGTTCGACAATGTCTAGATTACCAGGTTGTTGAATTTAAGTGATAAAATGTATAGGAAGAAACCACATTCAAGCAAGTGTGGCTTAATATTAAACAATTTTACTAACCTGGCGCATTCATTAAAAATTGTGATTATAAGTAATGGGATTGACGTATGAGAATCGCAACTCAGATCTAGTATTGTAAAAATTTGTTACTTCAAACTTTCATATAGAGTTTGGACTTCATTTTCATGTAACGCATAGTTAAACCATTCTTAATCTCAGCCTCCGATACAGCACAGGAAAAGCAAATCTTTAAATGGTTTTCATCTTACTTCAACATGTATGCTAATTTAATTTGATGAGAGAAATCTCAATCATATAACATTTTAAGTTTAAAAACATTTTTACATGAAATTAACTTACCTAAGCAAGCTCTAACTCCACATGAGAAGGGCAAGTAACAAAATACATCTCGCTCTGACGAATTTTCAGCAGAAAATCTATCTGGATCAAACTTTTCCGGATTAGGAAAAACTTCAGGGTTTCTATGAAGCATGTTGATTAAAACAATTATATGATTCCAGTGTGGTACTTCATATCTTCCTGAAATAAAGAAAATGCAATTTGTTAAAAACCTTTCTACGGTATACCTGTAGCGGAAATACAGCTTGTTAAAAATAATTACCGACAAATTTAATGAGTGTTATGTACGAGTCATTTGAAACACTAACTGTGATCCTGAAATGAAGAATAAAGGATTCAAATTTTCTAGTAGGAAAGCTTGAGATTAGTTGTAAATTTTTTTTAAAACATATTTGTATTTTTCAATGTATTTAAAACAAACATTCGAAAATTTTATTGATTTTAGAACAAGAAGCATTTTATCAAAACTATTCATCTGGTACAACTTGCCTCGACTTGGGGTAGATTGTATCAGGCGTGGGACAAATAGAAACAAAAACGATAATATTTGAAAACTATATTTGTTGATTAGTATTCCTCGGTATAATGACAAAGAATATAAAGTGTTTTACAGTAACAAGTTTTTTATCAAGTGGTTTAGAGTAAAACAAAAACAAAATTATTTAACCAATGAACATAATAGTCCATCTTCATGAGAACTGCAATTAGCATAAACAAGTGATCGGTTACTTTATCTCACATATTTAACCTGTGCCCATATTTTGCAAACTAAGCATTCTACTCATCATGAGAATCGCTGCAGGAATCTCCGCACGAAAAGCACAACCACTTTTCTATTTCAGAATCTGTATATGAGTACAAAAATCCTCTTTTATCTCTTTATTTCCTTTTCGAAATTTTTCTTTATCGTTTCCCTTTCCTTTATATTTTTTTGGTGCATGTTTCTTATCAATTATCTTTTCATCCCCTTTATCCAATGTTTTTGTTTAAGGTGTGTCAGTTAGAACAGAAAAATTTCTTTTGAATTGTATGAAGTTTTAAAGACATTTTATATGTAAGCTCTTCTATGAGATATTAAACTATAATCTGCAGTTTCCTTGTTGCAAGTTTTAAATATGTTTCGAAATTTTAATTTTTAATCATAAAATTTCCTACTCTACTAAATTTGAATTTATAAAACCAGTAGCTTACTTTCGAAAGCTATGCTAATTTATATAATTTAGCAGCTACGTAAATTCGAAAAAAAAAATAGGTCCTTACAATTGTTTCTTTTCACTTTATGTTTTCAAATTTCTTATACGCAAGCAGGAGAACAAAATTTTGGAGAATTCGTTTTTTTGTGGCAAAATAATTCATAACATATTAAAATGAGCATTTTCGTCTGCCCTATAATAAATTCAGCATTTTGTTACATAATTTTGGTATAGTTGAATGAAAATAAAATAGAATAGACTGAATTAAAAGAAAAATAAATAAGGAACTTTATGATCTTCCCCACAGGCGTTACCATTATTAAAAAGAAACTAGAAAATAAAACAAAATTAAAATGGCAACTCTAAAATACTAAGTGAAATATGACCAAAAATAATTTTTTTTACCAAAATCTTTACTAAGCATGAAAGATTTCAATATGTCGCTCTGCAACATACTTCCTTCCAGAGCTGATACATTTTTGCGATTTTCGTACTATTTTCTTAGTAGATTTTCAGTTGTCTGTGAATCCTTTCCCAAATACTAACGATAACTGCGTCTAGGTGGAATTAAAGCCTGGGACTTCGAACTAAATTATATTGGACCAATGTTTTATTGTCGGCTACTACAGACTTCCAAATGTGTCCCCCTTCAATTCGAAGAAACAATCGTAAGAAATAACGGACATTTGCATGCGCATCACTTAATTCTCGTGTATCAACGTGCATGTAATCCACCGACCATACACCTTATAATAGTGCAAACGTTTCCCAATCTGGTTTCTACAGAAACAAGAGTGACTGAAAGCATCGACGCAAATTCTTCCATAGTGATGCACCTATTCTCTCGAATAACCGTATTCACATGATCAATGTTTGTCGGGGTGACGAGCTGTCTTCCTTCAGTGAAGTACACTGCGAAAAAAAATGAGACAATTCTATAGCTCCCGTTCTACTGGGCGATTGACGAAATTCAAATTGCGTTTTTCATATCTCGAAAGCGCGACTTAGGATACATATTAGATTTATATGTATAGCTTTATTCTATCATAGGTATTTTGACAAAAAAATCGGACCTTTTTCTGAAATAACATACCAATTTTTTTCCATGTTTCGATTCTACAACTCAAATTATGCCAAACTGCCAAGTGTTGTAAAAATCGCACAAGTAGTTTTTAAATAATAAGCTCTCAAAATTTTAGATTATCTATGTTAATTGAATTTGATATGCATTTATTAATATCTCTTTTTTCCTTAAACTTAATTCATTCCTTCTTCCAGAACTCGAAATTTAGGCTTAATCCAAATATATTTCGTACATTTTTTATGACTGATTTTTAAAATTTGTATTTTTAAATATATTTTATATGTACTTCTAAAACATTTTTATATTATAACCTATAACATTTTTAATATAATCTTAGTAGATGTATTTCTAGGCACACCTGCAAAAAATTAGAGTTTTTTATTCAACATTTTCGAAGATATACATGAAATTACATATTAGCGCGTTTTGAAATTTGGCATTTCTTTTTGAGTGATAATAACGTCAAATGTTTTTTCCGCTCGTCTGCAATAGAGAAAAAGAAAAGAAAATTAGCAACAGGAGACACAGAACTGTCCTTTTTTTTTCGCAGTGTATCATAAAAGCCACTTGTCACCTATTACTGTGGATGAAAATATCTCTTACTCAGACAATCTGCATTTGCAACTGAATGGTTTCACTATTCGTATCTCGTATCAGTTAACACGGTCGCATCACAGATATACCAGCTACGGGCGAGTTTCAAAGATATTTATAAGTGTTTAAAAATATCCCCTTATGGTGAACAACACTGCCAAGTATCTTTCGGGATCAGGGAAAGATATATGTAAACAATAATTGCCACAAAAGAAATCCTCGCCTGTCAAAATAAAAAATTAAAAAAAAAAAAAACTATGCCTAAGTATCTTAGAAAGGTATCGAAGATATTTCATAAGCATTCAAAAATATCATCATAAGGTGAATAAATTGTCAAGTATGTTTCGGAATTAGAGAGAGATAAGTATAAACAATAACTGCCACAAAAGCAATGCTTGTATGTCAAAGTTGAAAACAGTAGGTAAATGACCTTATTATGATGAAGTTTTGGATCAATAGATCAACTCTGAACAATACCTCTTATACCATAAAGTAAAATACCATTATAGGAGTTTATATTAATTAATCAATTATTATGTCTGAAACTTTATTATAACGTCTTCTTTCCGTTGCCCTCACTAGAGTACAAATTAGTTGTAGAATATTTAAGCCAAGAAATTGAATGATTTAGAGTGAGAGCTTCTGGTAGCCTAGCTTGCAATTCACGTTTTATCGCTAGCTCTACCAAAGTTTATTCCGGCCCTAGCCATTTTGTAGACGACATTAATGACTTGAATGGACGATTTTGTGTATAGTATTAAACTAAATAACATAAATTGGAATTTCAATTTATAGCACCTTAAGTGGAAGAGTTTCATTCTGTATCACAAGTAGGGCCTTCACTTCAATTTCAAAAGGTTAATAAAAACTTTATTTTAACTTTTGTAATATTTTTGCAGTTTTGCTCCAGACTAGGGGGATAACTCGTTTATCAGTCTACTAAGGTCTGAAAGGCATTAATTTAATGTTCTATACAAGCGGAAACCCTATGCTTAATCTTATATTACGCAAAACAATACTATCCGACTTGATCCACATGCGTCTTATTAAGTTAGAAGATACAGAGAATGAAGAATCTATATTATTTATATATGAATGAATGTCTTGAATTCTTAAAACGGCTTTTAAATAATTAAAACGTAATATTTGTTACTAATTTCTTACTAAGAATTTACTTTAAACCGGATATAAAAAAATATTGCTTTTTTTAATTTTTTTTTTCATCCGTACTATACTACATTAATTTGATATTTTAAGTTAAAAAATTAATCCAAAACAAGCTTCCAAATTTTAATTAAAACGTGCACGAATGTTCACAATAACATTTTGTTACCAAATCAATCACGGAAGTTAAATAGCTTGTGAGCGAATGCAAAAATCTGATTACTTAGAACTTAGAATTAAAAACTCGAACTCGCCAGGGCGGATAACTTACAAGCATTTTCAATGGCCATATCAATGAAATTCAAATAGAGCTGTAAACTGCAAACTTACCCACTTTAATACTTTCTTTGTTTTCTCTTCCTATCAGAGGTACAGATGGATAGAGTCGAAGAGTTTCCTATGAGTAAGGTAAGAGGTGCATTATGAAACGATGGAATATAATAAAACCGTAGGCATAAGAAATAATTTGCTTTTAATAACAGTTGACTCATAACTTGGGCGCCTAATAAATAAATTACTGTATACCTTAAAAATTAAAATGAATTTTTAACTTAAGATAGATTTCGCATTTAAAGCATAAGCCTCAATTAATTCAAATTTTGCGCAATTAGCATTCAGAAAACGAAAATAAATTGCAGATATTGATCTAATTTACTGAGCTAAACGCTAAAAGCATAGATCAATTTAAACTTCATAGGTTCTTTTTTATTGATAATTAATGAGTTTTCCATTTGATTTTTAATTCATTCATACTTTAAAGCCAGTTTCGTTCCTTACGAAATTTAAAATAATTTATCTGAACTAGAATATTTCAAACTCAGAGAAATGTCTCATATCGTCCTTGGCATAATAACCTCTTTCAGAGTTCTACTTTAAAAATAACAGAATCGATTATAACAAATAAAATATCAAAAAATAAAAAGAATACATTTTTATTTTAAGGTAATTATCATTAATAATTTCCTATACATTTGAATACCAGTAAATTTTGTGAAGAAAATACAATAAAAGCTAGTGATTAGAGGTGTGAATATGTTATAAAAAACATTTAACTTCAAATAGTTATACCTTGATAACTTGTTCTAGATATACCAAACTCTTCACATCTTCCATTGTAACCTCTCTTGTTTTATCATCTCCAAATATGGAATATAATTCTTGGGATACTCTATCCTGAATGTCAGAGTGTTGGCCCAGTAGACATAGAACCCAATTTAAAGCTGTACTCGATGTATCATATCCCTATAAAACAGAAAAATTTGATTTAAATTATATTTGCGAAATTTTTATTCGTGTATGATTAATTAATGCATTGTAATTAATAGGAAAAATAATTTGCATACACCATCTCTATTTAAGTCTTTATGAGACTTATTACGCAATCTTTTATTATTTTATTTACGCAATCTTTTATCGTAGAGATATACTTTCCATTACAAAAATGCTTTAAAAAAGGAAAATATTCCTCTTCGACATTTTGGACCTTCGACATTTAGGACTTGGAAAAAATCTACATTTCTAATCCAATACCATGTGAAAAATCGCCAAATTCATCAAGAGTACAGCTCTCCTTCACATATATCGGATCTCTGGACAACAATGAATGAAAAATATATTCTGATTCAGACATGGCAGAGTTAATGAAAAATCCTCAGAGTATTTTCATCATCATTTTCATCATTTCATCAGAGTATAATCCATTCTAATCTCATCTATAATGAGAAAGACGGAGAAGAAATTAGTTGAGAAATCAGAAAAAGCTTAAAAGAAATTATCATTCCTCTGCTTCTTAAAAAAAGGGAATAAGTAAGAGATTTAAAGGCCGCAAGGGTAAACGATTTCGTTTTATTTCCAATAGAGTGATCACGAAACAAGTAAAAGTTAACTTGTTTTTAACACTAACTTATTCAACGCAAGTCTGAGGCTCCACTATTTCTCTTAACAGTGGTAGCATGAAAAATAGCATCTTTAGCCAAGTTGGGCAAATATGCTGGAAATCCTCTGATACAGTTCGTTAAACTACTTCCAACTCTAGGAAAGGTGTATAAAAAGTTTTTACCCAATAGACCTAACATTAAAAGAACATCCGATAAAGTACAATCTTATAATCAGCTTTCAAAATAAATCCAGAAAAGAACACAATAATATCAGAAACTCAGTATCACCGAATATATATAAGATTCGATTTTTTTACCCAAAAGTCTTTAAACGTTGCCTCCTTTCTCGATTTCAATGAACCATTTCATCGCGTTTAGCTCCAAGATCATTTTACAAATTGTATAAGTTCAGCCTTCCAGCTGAATTTATCAAAATCATCAGTTCCTATTTAAACATCAAGACTTTTCATGTGCAAACAGATGAAAATTTTCACCAGGTGTGCAATTCTCAACCCTCCGACCAACGCTTTCCAACGCTTGGTATACGATATGCCTGAGCACCTAGGAATCAGAATTTCCAAATAACCGACGATACTATATTACTGACAAAGTTTTTGAGATCAGATATTGCAATCGATGATCTCAAAACTGTATATTTTTGCTAAGGAAATTTTGGTACTTTTCCGTTTTGCCGGCGCAGGCGATAAAGTCGCCAATAATGGTACAACCGATGCCGAATGGAATATCCTCGTTGGTAAACTTTTACGTCTTATTTTCAAAACAAGTTGCAGTTATTTCTTGTCAGATTGATTGTTTCTTTCAATACTGGCATACAGTTACATAGAAATTTTAGCAGATAGTTCAATTTTATTCCCTAAGGCCATTCGAGGGCAGTAATTAAGTAAATTAGGATGCAATCACACCGCTCACCCGATGGTGAAAATATAGAAAGGTCAAGGGTTAAATTCATCAATTCTAATGAGAATGTACTAGCGAAGTAAAGCACTGCGGTTTTACATAATTTCTGAGTAAGCTATCCGTACGAATTGAAATAATTCTTTCATTTAAACTTGTATTCCAAATTAAGATTTAACTTAAAATTAATGTAGATAATTACTGAGAAAATTAGATTTTTGCAGCGTAGTTTACGTGAGATGAGATCACTTGGGGGTCACGTGATATGAATCGGTGAATCAAGATGTTGAACCATGAAAGCATAGTAAATTCTTAAATTGTGTTTTTAAAAATTTATTGTCTTTATTTATTGGCTTTTTTACAAAATTTTAAACGATATTAAAAAAATTAAAATTAAATTTCTTGGAAGTAACATTTGTCTACATGTTTTATGTCTATACTATGTGTTGTCGTCAATAACGTTTGCCTGACGAGATTTGCGCCGGCGAAGCGGTAAAGTACCGATATTTTTTGACATTAGCGCGAACAATAAGAGGATTATTAGGAACACTTTAAAAGTCGAAATATTGTGTTTTTAACTGTCATCAATGACTTAGGGCTAGCATTCAAAAGACTAAAGGAAATTTTTAATAAATTAATGCTTACAGCAACGTTCGTGTTTTGATTTCTGAATTGAATTCAGTCTTTCCTTCTGTTTCCAATAGCTTCTGGGCATGTAAAGTAAATACGAGGCAGTTTCGCCTAACGTGTCATCCACAAAGGCATGTGTCCCCTCAGCTCTTGTGTTCTTTACCGTATTCAGGTAACCTAAGCTAAACCACACTTACGCATTTGTCTCTTATAAAGATGATACACTAATTGCTAATATACTTATTTTTAAATAATACATGTTACTTTAATAAATAAAGTGTGCTTATGTAGAGTTTTTATTACAAATACAAGCAACACAGAAACTGAAAGAGATATCTTCTGAGGACTTCAGTAGTCTTCTCGAACCTGAAATGCTCATGATGTTATATACTAAATTACATGATATTTCATTCTTTTATTTCCATTTGGTTCAAACGATGGCGCCATAAACTTTGTTTCCTTTTTAAAAATTTTAATAGATTTAGCGTTAAGTAATGCAGGGCATTTTTGCTGCCTTAAGGAGGAAACATAGCGTCATTTGCCATCAAAATGCACGGATATTTTTCTACAAAGTTATATTCATTCTAAGGTAAATTTCTCGCTTAGTTTAAAATACAATCATTTATTACATGGCAAAATTTTATATCAGTATTGTAATTCTTATTGTTACGAGTTTTGTATTTAGTTAGATATTTTTAGTAGAATTATAATTAAAATTGCTTTATTTCCCCGTGCAATGCAGCGCGCGACGAGTTTTAAGAGCAAGATACGACGGAAAAGTAAAAATATGAGACCATGTGCATTTAAAAGTAATTAAAAGTTTATCTCGGTAATTTATATTTAATTTGAATAAATGTAATTGACAACTGTGTTAGCTGTAACCGTAATTCTACACTTTTGCTTTCAAGAAATCTCGAGAAGCAAAAATTGCTAGATTCTCACGCGACCGATTTAAAAGCTATAGAAAGCCGGCGAGAGCTCACTTGTTGTTTACTTAGCTGCTTTAATTTTGTTGATCGGATAAGCTTTCTCTGCGTTGTGGATTGCGTTCTATTTAACGTTTTAGTGGTTTAACGTATAGCTACTAATTATACTGCGCGATACTGCAATATTGTACGAGTATCTCTGAGGAAAATTCCAGCTTTGCTATATTTCTTGTGATAAGGATAAATTTTACTAACTTCTTATCGGACTTGTACATTCAATCTATTACGAACCCGTACGCACGCAACATATATTGTTACATGCCTTAAGGTTAAAAGTCTTTTCGATCACAAGAACAAAGGTATGTTACGAGCTACTGAGTACTACATTAGCTGAAAACACCATACATAAAATATGAAAGCTAACTTACGCCAAATATGAAGGTCAGTGCTTCATCCTCAATGTCATTGTACGTAAAATTTTCATTCTTAGCATATTCTTCCAACAATATTTCTAAAAAGATTTTGTTTTTATTTTCAGATTGTTGAACACATTTAGTATTTCTTTTCTTTGCTTCTAAAATATCTTTGCCTTCATGGATGGCCTGAAATCAGAGGTACGTGTAATAAGTTTCACACAGAAGAAAAAAAAGAATTATTATTAAATTTAATTGCGGGGAGTTTAAATATTTAAAGAAATCAACATTTTTTTAATTTGAAAGTGTTTGGCAAAAGAATATTGCACGAATATCAAATTACAGAATAATTTTGAAAAGCTACAGTAAAATGAATCCACAGTCGAGGATATAATGTTTGAATTTTGTATATAAACATGCCAGATTCTAGGAAGGTTTCAATTCTTTATTTCCCCTCTTTATAAAAGCTACAGTGCATAGTAGTACAACATATCTATGAATAATATTATAAAAGACCTTCTTCTGTTACCCCCACCCCAAAAAAAAAAATCCGCTAATAATACCTAACAGATAGACTTTAGTATTCCTAACCACAATATACATATTATGCAATGTACACTAGTTAATTTTTTTTTTAAATAAAAGCAGTTTTGACTCACTACGAGGAGAAACATGTTTACTGAGCCCCAAATTTTGCCCATCTAACCATCAAATTATAAACGATAATAAGGACTGAGTGCATTTTAAATTTCATTCACAAAACTATTTTGCGCTTTTTATTTTCCCTTCCTGATCTTGCTGCAATCTATGATATACCTTGCAATTTTGGGGATCAAAATCCTTTTATGTTTTAAAGCACCAATGATAACAACTCCTGCTGATCTATCTGAAACTTAAGTTCTGTCAGATGCCTGAGATGAAACTTTTACTTTCTTGCTGAATTGAGATGTTGGAGATTTTATAGCTAGTTTACGCCTTCTTTTTTCTCAATAAATTCAATGTCTTCATCTGGAGGACCTGATTCAACCCCGCTTCGTTACCTGAGAGGATTTTAGCTGGGCAGTATCTTTCATGCCCTCATAAGTACACTATACAGATGATGAGAAGAAAACGCTGAAGCATAAAAAGTGCAGCATGGAATCTTTTTAAGCAGAAAGAAAAAAAAAAGAATTTTAACTGAACAAATAACATCAGATTTAGGAAATTAGGAGAGAATTTAGGAATTTTCAAGGTTCTTACCCTTTTAAAGAAATTACGTATAATTTTCTCAGCTTTCTGAAACGTTCGACCATAGGAAGTGCGGTAGAATATAGTATCATACCAAAGCCATGGTTGAGAGATTCTGTAGGCCATGAGCTCCGTTACTCTGAAATGAATAACTAAACTAAGAAGGTATTTAATTAAATATAGCTATTGGAGTCATGATAAAATCATACATACTCTGTTTGCTAAAAGGTAGACCTCGTCTAAGGGATTTACAAACAATTATTTTACTAATGTTATACAAAGCACTTTTTCCTTGAATAGGAAGAACCACAAAAGGCTATCTGAAATGCACAGCTATGCCACTTACAACTATTCCATAATTTCTGTGCGAATTCATGAAACATTTATTCTTTACATTAATTTGAAGATAAGGATTTAGAAAACAGTAGTTATTGTAGCCTTAACCTTAATAGATTCTAGATTTCATCTGAAAGAAACCTCTCTGTATATGCATCAGTTAAAACAGATCACAAAAGAGGTCCAGTAAAAATACTCACTCTTTCGCAGGTTCCAGAAGATCTTGTGAAATTTCGTGAAATCTCTCTTGTGCACCTACATGAATTCCCATTGCAGTATCTAAAATGGATATGAAGTAGTTTTTATCAAGTACGTTTTTACAAGTTGGTTTTCAGATTTCATTGTCGAAGTAAGTTCTCAGAGATTGTATAATACAGATTAATTAATATTTTCTTTTATTACATTAACATAAAAGAGGAAAAAAGGGATTTTCAAGTACATTATAAGTTCCATGATCTATAAGGTTTTGAAAGCAATAAATAAATCAGAGATTTGGAATGAATTTTATTTTTAAAGTTATTTTCCTATGCATATGATGTTATAACCATATGCTTATTTCGATCATTAAACCGCATGATTAATGATCACAAACCGTATTTTTCATTGGCTGCAACATTCATCATCACATTTGTAACCTTATCAGGTTCAATGTTTCTTCTAACCTTCTTCGGAAACATACAATGACCTGACTAGAACAGAGAGCTTACTAAAGCTATGTTCACTAGTTGTAGTAAGTAGACAGGATACAGACGAAGGGTATACAAAACCCTTTATTTTTCTTCTTTATATACAATGACTTCCGTACTTCGGAATACAATGACCCTCCACTCGGGGTCTAACTTAAAAGATATCAAAATAAAACTAAACTCTAATTTAACTTTAGAATAAGATTGGCCTTATAATAACAGGAAGCGTATGTAGCACAGAGACTGTGAACACTACAATACGTTTAATTTATCAAGAGGATTAAAACCTCTGGCCTGGAAGGCAAAGTAGCAACTGCGCGTAACTTCTAAGGTAAGCGGCCTGCTTCGAACTCACGGCTTCCTCTCTTCTGCTTGGCAAAAAGGCCACACTTAAATACTTGGCGTTCGCCAGACAACTTTGCATAAACTCCTTCACGCTTATAATTCTGGCCGGAAGTAGAAAAATAAGAAGTGATAGTAAAGATTTAAAATAAAAATAAACGTTAGTAAAACTTAAGATCCTTACATACTTCCCGCCAGAGTTAATTAGTTTGAAACTGAGGTCTAAAACGACCTTGTTGAAAACTTTTAGCTCTAGAAACTAACGCGAGGCCAAACTTTTACAATCATAACTTAGCTAGAAACTAGAAAATTTTAAAAGAAAGAAAGAAATTTTTACAATAGCAGCTCCCGGAATATACAACAATCTTTTTCTTTTTCATCTGTACTGCATCAAAAACAGGAGCTTTATTCAATTCTGGTTCCTTCCAGAGATCTGGAAGGAAAACTAGTTTAATGAAATGTTACAGAATGACATTGCAAATAACAATATAGAATATACTTTTCTTAACATTCTTATTTCATTCATGATTATTTTAATTATCTCTCCCGTGCTCTCTGACATGTGTTGTAAAAACACCAAACACGAATGTGTTTCTGTCTATGTGTTCAAACACTTCCTCCTACAATCAAAACACTAATGTGTTAAAATTCAACATACGAGACCTCTTAACACACCCTAATTTCAACTCTAGACCTGAGGTACTATTATGAAAGTGGCTAACTCTAAAGTGTAGCGTCAGAGAGCCTAACTACATCATTCAACCTTTAACACATATTCACCATGAATTTAATCTTTACAGTCACACGAATAACAAATTTTTAACATTTACTTTCACTTTTACCATATCACGGTATTTCTAAAACATTCAAAAGAACAGTTCACATGTATACAAGAAATATCAATCAAGATGCCGTTAATTTACACATTTGAAAACATACATTAGTAGTACATTGTTAACTTCTATTCTTTTCAAAGCAAGTGCCAATTCTTTCTACATTGAAATAATACTACATTTCAAAAAGTCTTTCAGACTCTAAAACTTCTTTCTTGTTAGAATGTTTTAAATAAAAATTTATACAATAACTTTTTACAATATTTAAGTCTTTATACAACGCTATTATACATCAACTTTAGTTTTACGCGCGAGAGTAATTGAAAAACATAATAAGAAAATCGGTCACAACTCATTTCTCGCCCTTTTGGCGATAAAGGTAGACCTCGCATGAGGTAAAACTTCTTGAAATCTGCCACTTGCAGTAAGAATGAAAGATTAACTTAAGTTTGTAAAGTAACATAAAATTTTACTTATCTTTGTAATATTCAGACATCCTTTTCTGGGCCCAGTCTTTAAGGTGCTGCAGACCGTAGCTTGGTGTTGATCCTCCTTCTTGTACGGGCTCGCCCTTCAGTGCTTTCCTCTGGAAGCTTCCGTTTTTCACCACTACGGCCACCCTTGAACATCTTCCTTCTGTCCTCTGCTTGTGGTCTTGGCCGTTTGAAGGCAGCTGGTCTTGGTGGAACCGGGAAACTTCTGTCGTGATCCTGCTTGGGACTCGTTGTTGGCCGTTCAAATTTTCTTGTACTTTTTTCCTCCGCCGCTGATGGCCCTTCCGCAGTTCGGCGACTTTTGCTGCGGAGAGTTCTGTCGGATGAGTCAATCTTCCGTTTCACAGCCGGGTTATAGTTGCCGTCCTTTCTCCCGGTCTTTTTTCCACATACGTCGTCCTTCTCCCTTCTTCATTCTGGGGATGTTCGTGAACTCTGTTTTTTGGACGGTGGAACGGCTTCTTTTTCTTTGTACCTTCAATTTTTCCGCGGGGCAATTTTCTTTACACTTGCTTCTGTCTCTCATTGGCTTGCAATTGTACTTGTCGTTTTCCCACCTCTGGAACTTGTACCTGCGGTGTCTGCCGTCCCGGATCCTGCAAAAGATCTGAAAAGATTTGCATTTTATTACGATCGAAGTAGGGCTTAATTTGATCAATATTTGCGGAACAGATTTCACCATTTCTGGCCTTTAACACTACAACAGCGTGAGTTATTTTTTCTATAACATATGGTCCTTCAAAGCGTGGAAAAAATTTGGCAGTTTTATCTTCTGGTGCTGAAGAAAGTGAATGCTTAATTTTTAGTACTTCATCCCTACTTTATAAGTTACTCCCGTCGTTTCAAGTCATAATACAATTTTTGTTTTCTTTGTGCTACTTCCGTATTCTTTTTGCTTCTTTTATTAGTTTTTCTATATCACCCATTTTAAATTCTGGGGGCTCTTTGTTGCACATAAAATAGTTTATCTAACGGTGTTATAAACCTTTCTGCCTAGAAATAACTCAGCAGGAGTTTTGCCCGTTGTATCATGTTTTGCGGTCCTAAGGGCGAAAGCAAATTCATTGACATAGTTATCCCAGCTTTTATGAAAATTTTTAACATAACTACGGATAATTTTCACTATATTTCTGTTGACCCGTTCCGCTATATTTGATTTGCGGCCGATACGGGACCATTTTTAAATGAATTTTTAAATTATGCCCAGTTTTTGGCACATGTCTTCAAATATATTACTTACAAATTGAGGACCATTATCCGATATAACTTTTCAGGGGCGCCCCGTATTTTAAAATATATTTATTTAAAATAGAATCGGTAACTAATTTCGCGGAGGCTCGTTTTTTTAAGAGAACAATTTCGGTCCATTTACTAAAATGATCAACTATAACAAGGAGATAGCGACTTTTGTTTAACTGACTTTTTGGGAAAGGGCCCAATAAATCGATGCCGATTATTTCATTTGGAAATTCGGATTTAATACTATTTAGAAACCCGGCCGGGCGGAAATTAATATAATTAACGGCTTGACATGTTGGGCAGGACTGGACATACGCCCTTGTTAACTTTTGCAGTTCAGGAAAGTAGACTGCCTCGCGTACGCGTTGAGTAGTTTTTCGAATACCAGCATGAGAAGCTAAAGGGCTGTCATGGAGCTCTTGCAGGATATTTAATCTAAGACTAGCTGGGATAACAGGTCGAAATTCGTTGTTGGAATTCGTAGTTTTTGTATAAAATAATAGACCATCTATTAGTTCGTAATGGGCCGCCCTTTTTCTTATCGCCACAATATCTTGGTGGCTAAAATTTTCAGGATCCTTTAAATACTCCTAAATGCTTCCAAACTCAGGATCCTTACCCAGTTCGGGTTATTACAGTTTCTCGGGAATTTATTGTACACGCTGTCAGCATTGCAACTTTTACGGTATTATTCCCTGTTCGTCTAATTTAATTCGTGACAGGGCATCTGCTACGATATTTTCCTTTCCGGGGGTATGCTTGATTACCAGATTCTTATATTCTTGCAGCTTGAGTGCCCATCTTATTAACCTTGGGGATAAAAAATTTTTCCCAGAGTACAATCTAGTTACCGCCGCATGATCAGAATATACTGTTATCGGCGCCTTTTCCAAAATAGACTCGGAACTTTTGCACTGCTAACAGAACTGCAAGTGCCTCTCTCTCGGTCGCGGAAATAGTTTCTTTGTGTTTGATTTAAAGTTCGGCTAAAAAATGCCACTGGCTGCTGATTTTGCGAAAGTACCGCTCCTACCGCATAATCCGAAGCATCCGCTGAAATTTCTAAATTTTCATCCTTTTTCAGGAAATTTCAACACAGGGGCTTGCGTTAATGCTTGTTTTAATTTTTCGAAAGCACTATTGGCTTCGGCCGTCCACGAGAATCTTGCCTTTTTCCTTTTTAATTTTAACAATGGCTCAGCGATAGCCGCAAAATCTTTTATAAAGGACCTATAATATGAACAAAGTCCTAGAAAAGAAGAGAGCTTCTTTGCCGTGTTTGGAGTCGGATACTTTTGAATACAGCGATTATTTTTGATTCATCCTGTCTCGATTCCCTTTTTGAGATATTTTGTATCCCTAAATATTTTAATTCAGGGGCTGCAAATTTGCATACTTTTCGACATTAACTTTTAGACCGGCCTCATTTAATAAAGAAAACACCTGTCTTAAATCCTTTGTACATTGTTGGTCCAAGATTATCAACTAGTAATAATGATATCGTCTAATAGATAAATGTGGACTTTTCCGAGAACAGGTCTTAACACAATGTCCATGCATCGCTGAAATGTTGCCGGTGTTCCAGAAAGGCCAAACGGCATACGGCAAAAATGCATAAGTGCCAGACTTAGTTATAAAAGCAGTCTTAGGCACGTCCTCAGGCCTGATCCCTATTTGAAAATAACCATTCGTTAAAGTCGTCATAAATTTGGTTGATTTTATGTTCCTTAAAATTTCTTCTATAATCGGTAACGGATATACCGGATATTTCGTTATGGAATTTAATTTACGGTAATCAATAGCGAATCTCCACCTTTTTGGATGCTCCAAAGGGATAATCATTATTTTTTTCTTACATAAAACCACCGGACTAGCATAACTACTTGAGATAGGCGTTACGATCTTTTTACGTAGCATATCGGTAATATGCCATTCTATAATTTTTTTCCTTATTCTTATCATACCGGTATGGTTTTTGACGAACCGGGAATGCATCTCCTGTGTCAA